GCAGAAAGTGAGAAATCACCACTCTTGCCCCCCCCCCAGGGGGAATGCCCACGTTACAATCCCTTCTCTTCCGGTTTCCTCTTGGGATTTTGAGCGCTCACATATATGCCTGATGTGAGTTTCAAACCGTGGACTCTGGGACCTCAACCAGGATTGACTATGTGGGAGTCCAGTGCCTTAACCACCTACCACCTGATGACCCCAACACTTGTCCTTTTCTTTCCTGTGGGGAAGATAAGGTGACTTATCACAAAAATCTCTCAAAACGAATGAACAAACAAAATATTATATAGATGGAATCACACAGTACATAAGCTTTTGGATAGGCTTTTTTTTTTTCTTAGTATGTTTTTGAGAGTCATTCAAGTTGTTACATGTATCAGTAGTTTATTATGTTTCATTTCTGAGTACTATTCCACAGTATGTATGTAACACAATTTATTGAACCATTCACCTCTTGTAATACACATGAGTTGTTTCAGTTTTTGACTATTATGAATAAAACTGCTGTAAATATTTGTGTACCTCCTTTGGGTCATTTCTCCAGTACAAATGCTTAGTGCAGCTGCTGGGTCAAGTGGTGGTTTATTTGATAAGAAATCACCAAATTATTTTCCAGAGTGACTCTAACATTTTACACTGTCACCAGCAATGTATAAGCAATTCAGTTTCTTCACATCCTCTTCTGTGCTTGGTACAGTATAGCAACTTTTTTTATTTTAGCCATTCTGATGGGTATACAGGGATATCCCATTTTAGGTTTAATTTGCATTTCCCTAAAGTGATGTTGAACATCCTTTCACATGCTTACTGCATATACACATATACACATATGCAATAAGCATGTGAAAGGATGCTTACACACACACACATACACGCATATATAGTCGTCAGAAAAGTTATGACACATTTTTGCTTAGAAAAACATAGAAAAATACATCATGACTTTTCTGACAATCCAGTATATATATTCTCTTTTATGAACCGTTTCATGTGTTTTTGCACATTTTAAAATTAGATTGTTTAGTGTTGAGTTGTGGGAGTTCTTTTTTTTTTTTTTTTTACATTTTAAGTGGTTTGTTTTTATAGTATAGGACTTATATCTCAATAAAGCTGTATTTCTTTGAAAAGTGAATCATTAATATTAATGAACTAGATGTTTCATTTCACATTTTTATACTTAAAACTTCTAGTACCTAAATTTTTAACATTTTATCAGTTTAATAGTTTATGAGAGTAATGTTTTGTTTCATTATTTAATAAATCTAGCTTAATTTTGAGGAAATTTATTAACATTTTCCTTTCATGAATTGCATTTTTTGGTGTCAAGTCTAAGAACTCTGCCTAGCTCTATGACCAGAAGATTTTTTTATTGTGTTATTTTTCCTTAAAGTTTTATGTTTTACATTAAACTCTATAGTCTGTTTTGTGTTAATTTTTGTAAAGATATGAGACGTAGTTGAAGTTTATCTTTTTGCCCATGGATGTCCTGTTACTCCAGAACCTCTCATTTAAAAGTCAGGTTTCCTCCATTGAATTACTTCTGCATCTTGATAAACAATCAGTTCACTGGAGGACCAAATGGGAGCACAGTGGTAAAACATGATATTCTGTGAGGTTGATCCACATCAGGGCACTCCAGGCTTGTATGCTGAGATTTCCCTGAGGATGCTGGGCAAACACTTGCCCATGATCTTGGGCTGGCCAGGGTTGGGGGGTGGATCACAGCATTGAGACCCTGTTGTAGGTGCTATCTCTGTCTCTCTTGTCTCTTTCTCATGAAAGAAAGAAGAAAGAAAAGGAAAGGAGAAAGAAAGAAAGGAAAGGAAAGGAAAAGAATAAATGAAAGGGAAAGGAAAAGGGAAAGAAAGAAAGAAGCAAAGAAAGAAAGGGAAAAGGAAAGAAAGCAAGAAACTTAAATCAGCCTGGACTGGCTGGCAAGTAGTGTGGTGGTTAAGGTGGCTAATTGCTCAAGTCTTGGATTCAGCTTAAAATACATTCTGAGGTCCAGCAGGTGGTATAGTGGTTAGGGTGCCGGACTCCTACATGGTTGACCATAGTTCAAGTCCCAGATCTGGCAGCCTGAAACTTATGCCAGGTGTGTGTTGCCTGTGTGCCCCAAATCCCAGTAGAAGTGATTGTGGCATGGCCATCCCCCTGGGGGGTAATTTCTTACTTTCCCTCTCACTGCCTCTCTAGCGAGCACACATACACTATGGCAAAAAAACCTTTTACTTATTTATTTATTTAATTACGATTTTTTTTTATGTAGAAAAACAATTTATCCCATCATAAGCACTTACATAGTTAATCACAGAGGGTAACATGGTAAAACAGGTCACCCAAAATGGAGAGAGTATGAAACTAGTGATCAAGGACTAACTCCTAAAAATAAATAAATAAATAAAAAGTAAAAATAAAAAAGCAACTCTTATCAAGGATTAATTTAATTTCAAAAACAAATATAAGTCATTCTTTTCAACCTGACAGTCTACCTGTGGTATAGCTGACATAACATCTTTACAACTTGGTGGTCCCAGGTTTAAAAACAAAAATGAAAAAACCCATTTCACAGAAAGGAAAGAAATAATATGAGAACAACTCAAGAAATACACTAATGAGCAAAAATATATGGGCAAAGAACAACATGTAATTTTCTTTTTTTAATTATTTTATTTAACTTTAGTTAGTTAGTTATTTTAATTTGACCAGAGAGGAACAGAGTGAAAAATAGAGAAAGCGAGAAAGCAAGCCTCCAGGTCTGGGACTCAAACCAAAGTCGGCCACGTGAGAGTCCAGTGCCCTTACCCATCACGCCACCTGCCAGTCCCAAACATTTAGTTTTCTTAACTGAAGAATCCACGGAGCCTGGTCTACCGGAAAGCCAGGCGTGAAGGTTTTTAGAGCAGGAATCTATCTGACTTGACTCCCCCCATGTCCTGAATAAAAATGGCATCTTGCAGTATTTATACGTCACAGCTCAGACACCTACCTCACTTGGCTCTATTCCTTAAACGAGTCTGAAAAACTTGGGGATACAGCATCAAAAGAAAAATAGACACACCTAATAGTCCCCTTTCTGTGGCTACTGTAGACCTGGGTTTGTTACTAAAAGATTCCTGAAGAGAATTTAAATGTAAGTCTGTGGCTTTGCTGAATTAAGCCCCCCAGTTCGTATTTAAAAAACACCCACCACTTGGGCTAAGAGTATTGTCGCTGGTAACTGTATCAGAGGGATAGTCTAACGTAGGTCTCAAAACCAGTGTTAAACCAATCGCGGGGCTGAGAGGAAAAGGGGGAGACTAAAGTCACAGGAAGTGCAACCATATCTAGGACCCTTGTCCTTCTGGACCCACGCTTCCGTCAGAGTCTTCATAAATGTTCTAGCCCTCTGCCACACCTGCATGATATTGTCTTCTGATACAGAGCAAATCACCCAAGGTTCACTGGGATTCCACGAGAAATCAGATATCTTGGCAGTGTGACCACCATGAATAAACAACTCCAGCGGCCCATCCTCTGCATCTCCTGGGGGTTGTTCCTCTCCCATTTTACTTCAATCCCAGACATCCAGTCTGCGATCAGTTCCGCTGGAAGCCAAAAGTCTCATTGTGAAGTGACCACTGCACTGGAATACTTCATCCTTATGGGATTCAGAGGAACGCAACTTCAGTTTCAGATTCCTCAGCTCCCACAGGGCAACAGTCCTGCCAGCCAATCCAGGATGAACTCACTGTAAGGATCAAAAGAGAGGCAGTTCACTTCAGCAGTGCGAGCATCAACTGAGTGGCTTAGTTTGGAAGTCTTTGAACGAGTATCCCCAATCATAAGTTTCTGATCATCAGCAATTGATCCAGAGATTCATGGAGCCCATGCCAGGAAACATCGTCCACCACTGCCATATGCCCTGTGAAGACAGTCTTTGCATCCACTTTTCCTTACTTTGGT